GTATGGGAACATAGAACTCAAACAATAAATGAGACATTTAAAAACTTTTGTTTTCTGTATTATTGCAACAACCAATTTCTATTCAAATGTATCCAATCACAGTTTAAACTTAAAAAAAAATAGCCCTAGGAAAATGGACAGCAGTGAGAGGTTCAGAAATGTACACTCCAAAAGAGTTTATAATTGGAACTCACCTACTACTGCCATTATTCAGTCTTTTGGATCAGCTGTACATGCTAAATAATAGAAAATTTCAAAAAGTATAAAAACTAGCCAGTCTTCACAAAGCTGGCCTTTAAATATATCAATTATATGCATATTTAATACTTTCCTCCCTCTTAATTTTCACAGATGTGTTTCACAGGACATTAGGAATCTTTTTTTTTTTTTACCCTGGTTATGTATGTACCAACTCAGTTTAATGGGAATAGGACATGCACCCTGAAAAATCAGGCCCTAGATATCTCAAGTTGGGCATCCAAAATTAGTGGACATGTGACCGTTTTAGCCTTATTTTTTTCTGCTCTCCAGTTGCACTTATGTAAAGGGGCTAGTAATACCACCTTTCTTCACTGACATGTTATGAAGATAAATGTGTTAATGTTTGTGAAACAGATGTAAGCACATGTTTAATACTGAGTTTTAAAAAAAAATGTTGAATAGCCATCAGCTCAGTGAGCAACATCTGTCTTGCACACCAAATGAACCTCTGGTCTTGTGGGAAAAATATAGAATATGATCATATCATTAAAGACTATCACAATACTTATGCACAAGGGGTCAAATTTAGGTTTGACAGGCAGCCTTTATTCAGGCATTTCCTTATTTATGAGTGCACTGCTTTGCAATGTATGTTAATTTTCTTTTAACAGTTGTATGAATTTCCTAGGTTTCAAAAACCAAAAAAACAAACTGAAAATAAACTTAACAAATTGAATTGTGTGGAACCATATAGACCCTTTACATGGGTTATAAGCAAAGACTGTAACCTTTAGATCCAGAACACTGATTTCTACCGCTTAAAATACAATGGAGTAACTGATAGCAGTTGCTGGTGGTGATTTTCTATGTGGACCAGCCACAAAAGTGAGATGAGACACTTTGCCAGTGGGTTTCATAAATATTTGCTAGACAGCAGAAGAATGATCAGACTCAAGAATCTCTGATTCTAGTCCAGGCTCGGGGAGGGTGGGGGGAATGTTCTCTAGTGGTTACAGACACTTTCCCTTTTTATTCTATCTGCCCCTGCCCTTAGAATGCACTCCTTCAGCTGGTCTCAATCCTTATCCCCATCCCTCCAAAGCCTGCCCCATTTCAACCCTGCTGCAGTACAGGCTCTCTCTGCCCTGGCCTATCCCCTCCTGGACCCTGTCTCTGCCCCCTCTCCATTCCAATCAGGCTGATTCCTCCTGGATGTCAGAGAGAGCACAGGAGAGTCTCCCTGCTCTCAGTTCCTGTGTCAGGCACCACAGTGTCTCCTAGCTGCTAGGAGGAAACTTACAGGAAAAGGCTGATGGAAGTAGAGCCACTTTAATAATTTATGAATACTGTATGTTGACCTAGTTATTAGGCTTAACCAAGAGATCTTTGATGACCTGAAACTTGAAAAAGAGTCATACAAAGAGTGGAAACTAGGTCTAATTACAAAGGATGAATATGATGTAAGCAAGGTCTGGATGAACTCTCCCCTGACAGCTGGGAGAGAGAGACTTCAGGAGCAAACTATTTGTACGAACACACCTACTCTGCTTAGATATCCAGCAGATAGTGTGGTGTTGCTCAAAGTGATCAACTTTGGCCGATGTTGGGTTACAAATCACTTTAGTAGTGAATACAGGGGAATGAAATGCTGTTATCGATGTTGTTGTCCTTGTATGAATAAAGGGGAGCAGGACTGTGATTAGGGTCCAAATGAGGGGGTCAGCCTCAGCTGAAAGGACCTCGTTAAGCCAGGTGCTCAAATGCCAGAGCCTTGTGAAAATAAAAGGGGTGGGGATAGGTATCCCAGCCAGGAGATGTGGACTCTCCTTAAGGGTCCCTGGTCTGGGTTAACTTGTTCCTCCCCAGTGTTTAAAAATCAAGCTAAATAGGCTTCATTAGGAGCCTTTTGTTATGCTAAGTACTCAATGAGAGCTGAAATCACTTGTGTTAGAGCAGTGTTTCTGCCCAACCTACTGAGAGCTTAAAAAAATCACTAAGAGACTGATCTACAGAGGTCACAGTAGAAAGGCAAGTGGCAGCAGAAGGTGACTGATGGGCGGCCGGAAGGAGTGACCAGTGAAAGTGGAAAGCACTTGGCCGGCAAAAGTGGTGAGCAGTTGCCGGACGGGAGGCAACAAAAAGCAGCGGCTGGCAGGGCGGCCAGGTGGTGAGGAGCAGCGGCTGGCAAGGTGGCCAGCCAGAGCAAGTGCTCAGATGGCGGAGCAAGCCAGGTGTCTTTTTCGCCAGGTGGGAGGTGGACTCATACAGATGCCCCTCTGAACCCTGGGTCATCAATGACCAAGGACAACTACTGTGAGTGGGATATGGTGAGGGAGCAGAGAGGGGCACAGTAAAGGAACTTTTGGTTGTAGAACATGAGGCAGAAGACGCTGCCCCACGCACGTCGGGGGGGGGGGGGGGA